CCCCAAAACCCCAAAACCCCAAAACCCCATATTTTCTACCAAAAATTGAAAGTTTTACTCAATATCCTCAGGCATTAGGATTGCGCTACGTAGCGTTTTAGTATCTCAAACGATGCCATCCTTTGCCAATCTGTCTTTGAGTGAGTTAATTTCTTTCAACTGTTGATATCTCTGTTGATCATTCTTATTTCTTCTTGCAAAAATTATTGGAGGCTCTGGATTCTCATCTTCTGAATCAACGCCGGCATTAATATTCTTGGCAGTGAGTTCTGAGGATACAATATTTCTATATTTTCTTCTAACCCTCTGAATTTTAGTTTTACCGTCATTCCTAAAATCATTCATATGTTTCCAGAGGTTTTTATCGTAATATGTTCTGAGCTTGGACTGCTTGCTCTTGATTGGAGAGAGGCTCAAAAATTTATCATTATCAAGGTCTACATCGAAATGAGGTTTCCCGTATTCATTCAGCTGATTTGCGTTCATTTCTTCAATATTCTTCGTAAAATCTATCATATTAGGAGCCTTTATTCCATTTTTCCTAATCTTTGGCAATTGAGAAAGTGCTCTTTCAGTTGGGCTTTTGATAACGACTTCAGGCTTAGAGATATCTGGCTTTGTAAATGTGGATTCTGAGTCAACATCCTCAGCAATTCTGCCATTATTTGGAAAATAGTTTCTTAGATAATAAGAGCTATTATACTTCGCAACTTCTTTAAAATTATTTATGATGCTGTCTAGCTGTGTAATTCATAATGGCTTTTGCATTAGCCCTTTCGAGAGATAACTGATCTCTCCTAGCTTTATATTTGCCCCATTCTTTTAGAGTTTGAATGAGTTTAGGGTCACTCTTTGGAAAATTTAATTTACTCTTGTTATTTTTCTTAGCCTTTTGAAATTTATTCGTTTTTGTTTCAAAGAAATTCCTTGATTTCTTTGGAGAGTTCAAAAATTTCTAAAACATGTAAATTTTATCTTTCAAATGAAGAATGGAAGCATTCCTTACACTTCAACTAGATTCTCTACTGGCTAGCTCACTTCTTAATTTATGCTTCTTGGTCTGTTGATTGAGCATCCTTTCAAGCTTATTTTAAATTTTCATCAATCTTTGGTCTAGGGCTTTTATCAGGACTGAATAGCTTCTTACTTGTTGATGAGACAGATTTTCCAATGAGTAAGCCAATACTATCTAGTACTCCTTTTCTACGACTAAGTGAAATCTCCTTTTTGGTCTTTTTCGCTCTGATTTTTGGTTTATTTCAGTTTAGTTTCATTTATTTTACTGTTCTCATTATCTTTGTCAACAAGTTTAAGGCTTGGATGAAGATTTAAGCTGCTTCTGACAGTCTAAACCACTGTTATGTTATGAGAGTAAATCATTTACAATACCTGAACCATATGGCCACTACTGGCTTTGTGTTGATCTTCTTCAGTCGCCTTGATCCTCACCCCTTTGATTTCCATAATTGCTATAATAATTCTTTCACAACATAATTATCCAAAAAGGGGTTTTGGGGTTTTGGGGTTTTGGGG